TCTAACCTGAGAAATGTACCAAAAACAACAGGCAAAAACTAATAATCCATATAGAGCAGAAACAACTGGACCTGCATGTGCTGCCTTACACATCTATCACACAGTTAAAGATGAACACTAATGGGAAAGACCTGAAAGCACCATCCACCAATACAGTATGACTTATTATGTTCGTCACTACAACAAAGAAACAAAGCAGCAGCAGCACTTTGCAACACCAGTAAAATTAATTAAACTGTTCCATTAACTTTTACTTTTTGCATGACAGGAGACAAACAAAATGTTTCCTTTTAGAACCACACTCCTGCCCAAATAAACCATGAATTGATAATAATTGAAAAAGGACAGTTTAATTTGTTGCTTGGAGTACATTTTTAACAGTTAACTTTAGCGACATGAGGGAGCGGTGTCGTGGTGACGTGTGGTTTATGTGACCATCGTTTCAGAAGAGAAGAGTAAGGAGATATAGATTTAATTTACATTAAATCTACATTTGCTTAGATAGCAGAATCACTACACTGAAGCTGCTCAGTGTTTTAGTCTTCTTAATGTATTTTTTACTTTTTATGGTAGAGATTACCATTCCTCCTTGACCATAAATTAAACTCTTTTGAAGTGGGTTTTTTTTTGTGTGTGTGTGCCAAAAACTAGAAATCTTTGGCACACAAGGACAGAAACTTACATTGCAAAATGTAACTTCCTGTCTTTTGTTTTTATTTTTCTTACATTCACTCCACACATGCTGATACTTTATCTGTTGAGGACATTGCTATGACTACAGTAAATATAATTTTGGAGAGCGAGAGTCATTATTCCGAACGCAACGCTGGGTTACCTGAGGTTGGGAAGGTGATGCTGTGAAGCTGAATTTCCTGTCTGTCCTGTAATCGAGTTAAATATAGCATGTCAGGCATACCAGGAGCTGTTTGTTGACACTGAGACATAGAGCTAAGATCTAAGTCGCATAGCTTACTGCAGGGTGAAACTTTCCACGCGGCTCACTCGCAACTGGAAGTTTGTCTCCTGGCTCGACAGGGTGGACACGTCCACAAAGAAGTACTGGGTCTCGGATGCGGCTCGAGTTGGAGGCTGGCACAAGGTTCTGCCCACGTGTTTGTACGGGTACTTCCTCTGATAGCTGAAGGGCAAGACGCACAGGAACACGTGCTGATAAACACAGAGGATAACACGGCTTCTATTTACCTCAAAGATCAGCTTTGAGGTAAATATAAATGTATTTTATTTTACAAACTGATAAGACATTTTAAGTGAGAAGTAAAGGATATTTTCCAATAGTGGATCATTAAGTTTTATAGTATGTAGATAAATAATTGATAACCAAAACCACCTTTGTTGCAAATTCCCATACAACACACAAACCACGTCGTACAATGACAGACAGGAAAATATTCTAAAGTTTCTCATTTCCAGTAACACAGGTTCCTCATATCTGACTTGGTGGCTTCCAAGTGGAGGAACTGAAAGTTCAAAGTTTGTTAATGAGCTGTTGGAACATTGTCTGTCCACGAGGGCGCAACAGCAAAAGGGCGACAAGGTAATTCTGATGTTGCACAACCAAAAGGCACAAGACAAAGATCAAATAAGGAAACTGCTGAGGGAGGCAGAAAAGGTCCTGAACTCCAAACACATCACAAAGTCCCCCCATTACTTGAAACTACATGAGGGCACACTAATCTCTAGCAGGAGAAACCAACTGTTTTCCTTTTACAAAATACAGTCCTTTGCAGAGGTTTTCATGTCTTATCTTGCCTTTTGTCATGTCACAAACACAAGCTTAACATTATTGTTTCAGGATTATGGCTAATAGACCACAGTGCTGCACATTTGTGAAGTTAAAAGAAGGTTTTAAAAGATTTCTATTATTAAAAATCCAAAATATTTGACATGGTTACACTGAAATTCTTAAAATAAAAAAACAGTGTATCCAAATGCCTTCAAAAATCACCTTACTTGTAAAGAGAGTAGAGAAATTTAGGAAACAAAATGCAACATGAAGACCAACAAACAGCAGACAGATCAAGGGTGACTTCGTGAAGACTTTTGAAAAAAAAAAAAAACACTTATGAGAAGCACAGGTCGCGTTTACAGTGTTTTATCATATGACCTGAAGTCATAATTACAGAGAGGATTTCTGTAAATGAAGTGGATGTCCTTAAAGAGTGCACTGTCTTCAAATTATTTTTTGTTTTGGTGAAAAAAAGTAAATGTGGGTACCATGATCTTAAAGTTAATAAACTTAGAAAAGTGAGAATTACTCACAGGCCCCTGAGAATGAGGGGGACTTGAAAAGACATCACAGCTTGCTTTTGCCGAATAACAAACAGAATAGGACTCTCCAGATGCTGCTGCATCACGTCTACAGTCACGCGCACCCCCTCTGTCTGAAAGTCAAACAAAAGTAACAAGGAAAGGATTAAATCACCAAATCATTACCTGGACACCATATTCTAAGATGCAGAGAAGGAAACTCACCTTATTTCTGGAGATGGTGTGATTGAACGCATAGATGGTCTGGTTGTAGCTTTTAACCGTGTCATTATAGGTCACATCAAACTCTGCATCCTTTTGCGTCACAGATTTAGTCTCTCCAAGCGCCCCAGCACCGCACACTAACTGGGTCACACAGAACCAGAACAAAGCTGCCAGCCCTGGCCGTATCCAGCGAGGCGCAGGAAAACAGCTGCTTTTAAGACGACATTTCCAGTAGCTCCTTAACACCATTTTGTCCGACACCGTCTTCCTCAACCGAAAACCGACCACTAAGCTTATTGCAGCCTGTATGGCAAAGCAAATAAATAACCCCAACCCATTAAGGAGCAGTTAAACCGAGATGTCCTGATGAACTGGGCCACTTCCACACTGACAAAGAGCTGAAGCACCAGCTGCTGCAAGCTACTTGACCAACTAAACACACAGCGAAATGTTCAAGCGACAGACTTGTTCTCACTGACAACAACTTCTGAGCTAGCAGCTATACAACCAGAAACACAAAACTCAAGTCGACGACGCAACAATGACCCCCCGTTTCTCTATCTGGGGAGCTGTGCTAACAGCTCGCAAGTTAGGACGCCAGGATAGAATCACCGCGGATACTAAGTCGGTTAGAAAAGAGAGTCAGAATACAGAACCGCGCATTACAGCTAACTAATTCTGCCCTCCTTCTTAACTCGTATTCACGTCTACGTTAAAAGACGCCAGCACCAGACCGGTCAGCACCAGGTGAAAATATTTGTCGTCTAAAAGCCGTGCACACTACGAAAAATCCGTTCCATCAGCGAACCCCCCTCCTCCACGCTCTAACAGTAAACAAAACGCCACGCGACGTAATGACGTCACTGCGGAACAACTTCACGATTGGAAATTGACAAGCCAACAATTTAATTTCATTTAAATCAACTTAATTTAATTGAAGAATGAACTTGCTTAAGCTTATTCAAATGGAATTAAACAAAGCTGAACAACAAGGCACATAAAGTAATGAATCAAAATAAAGTTTAGCTTAATGTAAGCCAACAACAAAAATCCATCAGTCATATTAAATAAACTTCAAAAATTAATTTGATCTAAATTACAGGGTACAAAAGTATGAGTAAAAATATATTTAATTAATATGACTTCTATTAATTTACATTTAAAATAAAAAAAACTAAAATACAGAAAACTAATATAAATTCAAATTAAATAAAGTTGAATAAGTGCACAACTATATATATATATATATATATATATATATATATATATATATATATATATATATATATATATATATATATATACTTCAAAAATTGTTTAAAAGTTTGTTGATGGTTTGAAATTGTATTTCATGTTTGTATCTTATCTTCAATTAAATATTATCAATTAAAATTCTAGATCAAAGAATTTCATTAAACTACGAAATATGCATTGGGGTATTCTATGATAGAAGGTCTTAATCGAATGACAAAACTGACTTAAGAAATCTGTCTGCTCCAGTTCTTTGCTTTATGCATGTGATATTCCTCTTTGTAACAAGATTGAATGGAAAAGTGTTTATGACTGCTAGCTGCTGTTATGAAACAATACTCATTAGCAGTTATATGGAAATGTTCTTGTTTAGGTTTGGTTAATAGCAAATGGCTGCTTTGTGCAGTCAAAATTGTTGCAAGAACTCATATCTACCAATAGATGGCGGTGTCTACAACTTGGTTAGGGAGTCATGAACTACAACAAGAACTGCAACAAGAAATTAATTCTTATAAATGTTATTTGTACATATAATATATGTATATAAATGTTGTCTTTTTATTTATTTTAATTTCTTTTACATGGATCAAATACTTGATTTCGTGGTATCAGAATTCTATCTATCTATCTATCTATCTATCTATCTATCTATCTATCTATCTATCTATCTATCTATCTATCTACTAAATGCCAAAACATTTAACAAAGCACCATTGAAAAGATCCCCTCCCATCCCTCCCCTCGAATGTCAAGGCCGTTTCTTTGCACACTAGTCACGTTTGCCTCCAAAGCGAAGGTTTTGAAGATAGTCCGTATATTCGTGGTTCCATAAGTATCAATGAAACTGTATTTGTTCCGTTTTATCTGATTTATCTGTGTTTAAATGCATGTATTACTGATTTGTCCCACAATAGTCGTGCTGAACTGACCGCCTTAGTCTGTGAATACTTCCTTGTTTAAATATTTCTTTTGTCTCAGTGGAGTTTAATATTTTCATTAGCTGGATTGATTAATTTAGTCTTTGTGGTGTTAACATGGCGTATACCTTTAAAGCTTCAGGAAGCCCTCTGATCGCACATAGCGCAGCACTTTTGTAAGGAATCACTGAATCATGGGAACCAAAGTGATAATGCGCACTTCTCTGTCTCCACGGCAACCAAAATACGTTTTCGTGGATGAAGTCATTTGTTACGCCGATCGTTGCCATGGCTACAACCTAGAGAGGGCGCTGCGGAGGAGCCCTTCACGTAAAATGACGCAGGGCGGGGGCGTGCCCGCGATGCGCGCTGCGCAGGGCTGCTTGTTGTTCCCGCAGAGAGGCGAGAAGATGGCGGCCGTGTCTAGCGGAGGTGCTGCTGGGTCCGCTGCGGCTGCAATTACGCACCCTGCCCGACCGACCCACGCAGGAATGGTCTCCCAGAACCGGGCCCCGCCGTCCTCTGGGATCAACCCCAATGGTCGTACCACCACGGCCACCGGGTGCATCACTAATCCCGGGCACACTTCGGCCACCAGGCCCCCTCCAGCCCGAGTGGGCCACTACGAAATCGAGCGGACCATCGGCAAGGGAAATTTCGCGGTTGTTAAACTAGCCACACACATCATCACTAAAGCAAAGGTAAGACGAGTCCCTTATCTACGCTATAGAAAAACAATTAGAAGTTGTCAGTGATTTATTTAAAGCTTTTTAAACATGAACTCGGAATGACGCTGGGGCCTCCATACTCCGGAGACTGAACAACCAGTGTGTTCGCTCTGGTGCCACCGCAGCTCGGAGTACTGGGGGTCCGTTCGACCCGGGCATCACCTTCAGCTGATGGATATGTAGACACTCCTGGCCTAATATATTATCTCCAGGACGTTAATGCTTTGTTTGTATTATCAACTTAAGAACTCAAAAGGCCTGTGTTTTAAGAGAACAGACAGAAGGGTATTGACGAAGGAGGATAAAGAATAGAGAGATATTTTGATGTTACTAGCTTTAGCTCAAATGCTTAATTAGCTATTTCGAAATATTTTGGATGTTAACTAAACCTAACTATGACAAGAAGGAAGGCAGATAAAAAAGTACTACTGCAGAGCTATAGACTAACAATTCTATTAAGTTAGTGTTGCCCAAATATGGATACCAAATCCCTGTAAGCTTTGTCGGGAAATTCAGAAAACTAAACTCCTATACCTATAGCTGAGTCAATTGCCGTAGAGTTGTGCTGCAGATTTCTTCACTCGGTATGATTACTTGTTTTCATCCGGTGTTTCACGTCTGGAAAGTTTCTTACGCCTTTTTTCATCGAAACGCAACCGGTTTGACAGAGCTACTCTTCATCTCTGTGTATCAAGTTTTGTGGTATTTAGATTTCTCTGTTAATAACTGCATGGCGTTTCCAGTGACCCCCGGACCCCCCACCCCACTCGGACAAGAAAACACCGACAGTGACAAAAAAAAAAAAAAAAAAGTGGTTTTCAAAAGAAAGCGCATACATGGATGCTTCTGCGAATATGTGGGCGCTACTTAGCATACTTCTTACACTGGATGATTGCCACATTGACAGAATCGTACTACTGTAAACAAATGAAAGCCATGAGAGGAAAAAAAACAAAACAAAAAACAGTCACTCCTCTGGAAGATCCCATTGAGCTTCAGATCAGCCACCCCTTTTTTTAAGTGAACTGTTTTTATTTTGTGGTTCAAGGAATGTATTGATTTGAAACCAGTAATTGTTGTTTCAGAAGAGGTACAGAAGGTTCACATACTCTGAAGCTTTGTTTGCCCAATTGATTATGTTGTGACCGGTTTGAGTTGCAGAATCATTTAAATTTGACACAATAAAACAGAAGCACCAGTACAGTAATCTTATAATAGCCACCTTAGTGAAGTTCAGAAGATTTTAGCAAGACGTTTGGGAAAACTTAAAAATAAACCATGCATTTTTAGATTATGTGTTAAAGATCCACAATTAATGTAGAGTTTAAAAATCTGATGAAGTGGAAGGTAACATGCTTTATTTGCGTAAGTGAGGATAATCTTATAAATCCTTTATTTATTTATATTTATTTTATTTAAAACTACTACCTCTATCAAAGATCTGGCTGCTCATGTTTTCTAGGTGTTTGAATAAAAAAAAAGTCTGAATCACACAAAGCACAATAGCGTAAGCCACAAGATGGCCGTGTGAACAGGTTCTTTCCGCTTCTTGAACAAGATCATTAAATCTTAGAATGCAGGTGCAACGAATATTGGGACTACAAACCTACAGCCCTGTCCCCTTTAGTGTTTATTTTTGATAACATGCCCCGATCAAATTATCTCAAGGTCCTGGTGGTGACTTACTGGCCAAAACCTGATTTTGGCCAGTAAGTGATGCGTGGTCATGCAGTGCTTTTGAAAGTTTAAACTGGAACCTCAGATTCTATTCTGTATTGTGCAGGGAACCAGTGCAGAGAGTTGACGTAGCTTGGAGGATCTTGTCAAAAGCTCATCTGCTGCAATTTGGAAATGTTGCAGTTGACCCGGAGAAATGTCAATCAGACAAGTAAAGAACTACATTAATCTTTCCATTAAGTTAAGGCATGTAGATATTGGTTAATAGCTCTCAGTTTATTTGACTTTTTTATGTGTGAATCGCACAATAAATCAAAAGTCAGCAGTCTGTAGAAACTACCGTAGGTTTTCAGTAATAGTGAGTGACAATCTACGAGTAGCTCAAAAAAGAGGCTCAGGTTTCTCATCAGCAAACAGCCAGTGTTTTATTTCTGAAGAATTTAACTTTCATGATGCGCAGTATTTACATTTAGAAAACGTTGGGTATCATCAGCATAGCAGTGAGAGGGTAATTATCCCAAAGGGAAATTAAATGCTGTAACTCAAGTTTTCCGAGTTTCTTAAAAAAAAAAAAACTGTTGCAGACACCGATGGATGTGTGGAGGGACGATGTTCTGCAGCAGTCCGTATTACTGCAGATCTGAAGTAGCATCTGAATAAGACACTGTTGTCGTAATAAACTGATGAAGAGGATGCTCAGAGTTGTCCGTATTATTCTTGATTTTTTTTTCTTTTTCATTGAATGATGTGAAAAGATTATATTAGACAAGCAAATAAATGAAACTAGTATGCTAGATATGCTCACCGCTTGCTTATAAAAGACCGTTTTGATCAGTGTGTACGACCCCTATAATGGTTGACCACTGTTACCGGTGAAGCACATGGGAAAGGTTGAGGTATCTTTTGTGTCTTTCTTTTATATAACCAATGTGGAGGCTTTCACTCAGATGGCATAAATAAAGGCGTGTTGCTCCTGCCGCTGAGTGTGTACCTATACTTCGATGCTCCTTGTTGATACACACACAGACGGGCTGACACGGGTCATTTGGATGTTTTCCACGACACATCTGAGAGCCTTCAGTTCAGTTTCGTGAGGCCAAAATAAACCCGGACCAGTGAGCCGTGAAGTGACTCTTAAAAGTGGGGGGGGAAAAAAAAAAGACGCCGCTCGACAGACCTGGATTTGATACGACTGCGGTATAATTTAAAGCGTAGTAGGTGTGCCAGAAGGGTTCTCAAAATCCCGTAAGAGCAATCCAGTGACAGCGGTGACGTGTTTTGTTCTTGCCTGCCTTGATGTGTGCCGTCTGCGTGGATCTATGATAGGCGGAGGACAAAATGACACTGACAGAATGAAAGAGGGGCCTTGTTTGTTGATGGGTGCCACAGACGGAGCCAGTCAGCTCAGGATTTACATGAACACGCATAGGGTTTTCTGCGTCCCCAGTTTCTCATGAATATCAGAAGAATGAGTGTGCTTTTACGTGCCTGTGGATATCATGAATATGGATATGATGATCAGTCATGAGATGAGATGGAGCCTTATTTTTATGGCCTAGAGTTTCTAAATGCTGACTCGTCAAAAATAGCCCAGTAGCTCCTCTCCGCTGTTGGATGGAGGTGGATAATATCCTGCAGTGCAGTCACTCCGAGGAGGACCCTATGTTTATGCTTGAAGGCTTAGAGGCATATAATGGGATGGCCCGCCTTTTTTTCTCGCTTCCTTACTTTTTTTTTGTAGGTAAATCTATAAAAAAAAGTACTGTAATTATTTTCAAACGGATACAGTTGGTTTTTCAACTTGCCTTCTAAGACAACACAAATCTTTAGCGTCTGAAAACTATCGCTGTGATAGTGAAAGTTGATCTCATCCAGATGAAGATAAGCTACTGCAGTGAAGTCAAAACAAGAGTTTTAAAATTGTCAGGACAGATAAAGCTGTGCATGTGATCTCGTTTGGATTGACATTTTAGAGCTCAGCACAACATAGTTGCCAGCCAACTTAAGATTTATTTTTTAAATTTCTGCAAGTCAGTAAAATTATCCTTTTTAAATCATTATCAACATGATAATCAGAATAGCCATGTGAGTATTTTTGATTTTAGTATTGTAACCAGTCATGAGAGTATTCTTAGGGTACGACTATGAAAATATTTAGTATAAAATGTCATCATTTCACGGTAGAACACATGTACTTTTAATCTAAAATGTCTAATATTGTTTTATTGCTTTAACTTAAGCAACTATTCTTCCTACTCCTGCTAAAATATTACATATTATTAAAGTTATAATAATAATGCTATCTATTGTGATAGTTTATTTTGATTCCAAATGAGAGAATATAATCTGTTTTTGCAGTACTACGCTTTACAGAGTAACAAAAGTTCAACAATCTGAGTAACCAATCAGGCTATCTGCTCATGTAGCCATCCTTCAGTCAGCTGCTTAAAATATTATTGGAACAGATTGATGGCAGTTTGTTTTTAGCCTTCAAATCATTTAAATGCAGAAATACATGGCTGATATGGTAATGTCAAATTTATTTCTATAACTTGTTCAAAAACATCTGCTGATCAAAGTTCTTTGCAGTTACATCCGCAACCATTGAGCAGTAAATAGTATAAAAAGAGTAAAACGTATAAATACAACACAGAGGTAAGATTTAAAGTAACTGTGAAGCATCTCGTATACAGTCAGTCGTAGGTCAAAGAAAAGCGATGGGTTTTTAGCGGAGATCTAAATGATGGTAGAGTTTGAGCAGTTTGAACAGGGCAAAAAGTGGATTGCACTTCTGAAGACAAAAATGTTGAGCTTTAAAATCCCTTCCCGTTTTTTTTTTTTTTTTTTTTCCAACAGTTTCTAAATATGTATCAGAGGGCATGTGTTAGGATATATGTATATATTTTTTTAATAATGCAAACAGAAAACGGAGCTTAGATTAACAGTCGGTAAATGCTAAAATAACAATGGTTCTCCCATCTGCAGTTCACCAATGTATAGATGATGAGTCTGGGTTTTTGGGGGAGTTTTTTGTAAGCCACAGGCTTGTGGTGAAGTCACGTTTTGAACCAGCTCAGAAAATCCTGTAGATAGAAAAGCTGAGTAGCTGATGTGTTTACAGTGCTGATGATGCGGCTGCAGTCATTTTCCAATGGTTACATATTGATTCTATAAATACCAAGATGTTTGTTGTTTTCTTTTTCTTATCTAGCATTGAAAATTGGATACATTTTAAGACTTGATGCCCGTATACTTTCATTTTCAGTGTATGATGGCTTTTAACATGGATTTGTTTC